AGTCACTGTACCTAAGAGGAATGGTTGGTGTTAAACCATTTCAAGAGATAGCATATGATCAAGAACCAGTGGTACTAAAGGATGAAGTCCAATTGCACTGAAAAATAAGGCTCTAAGAATTGACTGAATACAAACTGTAATCTTTCAACAAGTTGATGAAGCATTGGAGGTGCTTTTTCATGTATGCCAAGAAATCTCAAAGACAATGACTTGGCCTACTAATTGGAATAGATCCATATTTGTTCCCATTCCATAAAGAGGTGACCCAACAGAATGTGGAAAGTATCGAACAACATCACTGATATCACATGCAAGTAAAATTTTGCTGACGATACTTTACAAATGGTTACAATAGTACATCAACAGAGAACTGCTAGAAATTCAAGCCAGATTCAGAAGAGGATGTGGAACAAGGGATATCATTGCTGACGTCAGGTGGGTCCTAGCTGAAAGTAGAGAATACCAGAAAGGAGGTTTAGTTGTGCTTTATTGACTATGCAAAAACTTTAGACTGTGTAGATCATAAAAAACCATAGATAACATTTCAAAGCATGAGTATTCCAGAACACTTAATTGTGTTCATGATGAACCTGTATATAGACCAAGAAGCATTAGAAGAGAACAAGGAAATGGCTTAAAATCAGGAAAGGTATGTGTCGAGGTTGTATTATTTCACCATAGTTATTCAGTCTGAAAAACTGGATTATATAAAGAAGAGTGTGGTATTGGGATTGAAGGAAGAGTCGTTAACAACCTGAGATACGCAGGTAATATAACCTTGATTGCTGAAAGCAAAGAAGACTTAAAATACTGATGAAAAGAAAAGACTCTAGCCTTCACTATGGGTCACACCTCATTGTAAAAAATAAATAAACCTAAAATCCTGACAATTGAACCAATAAACAACATCGTGATAAATGGAGAAAAGATTGAAATTGTCAAGGATTTCCTTTTATTTGCATCCATAATAAACACTCATGGAAGCAGCAGTCAAGAAATCAAATCGCATATTGCATTAGGTAAATCAGTTACAAAAGACCCTTTTAAAGTGTTCAAAAGTAAAGATATCATTTGAGGACTAAATACCAAGCCATGATATTTTCAATAGTCACATATACATGTGAAAGTTGTACAATGAATAAGGAAGATTGTAGAAAAATCAATGTATTTGAATAATGGTGTTGAAGAAGAATATGAAAAGTACCTTGGACTGCTAGAAGAACAAGCATCCATTTTTGGAAGAACTCAACCAAAATACCTCTTAGAAACCAGGATGGTGAGACTTCGTCTGTTATACTTCAGACATGTTATTGGGAGGAGCAGTACCTGAAGAAGGACATCAGGCTTGGTAAAGTGGAGGGTTGATGAAAAAGCAAGACCCCCTAGCTGGATGGATTGACACAGAGGCAGCAAGAACAGGTTCAAATGTTCCAATACTTGTGAGGATGGTACAGTAATGGGCAATGTTTTGTTCTGCTGTGCATAGGGTCATTATGAATCGGAACTGACTTGATGGCACATAACAGAAACAACATATGAATATTTGGAGGCTTGACAGTGCTGTAGGTTAGGCATTGGGTTACTAACTGAAAGGTGGATGGTTAAAGCCACCAAGCAGCTACTCCTCGGGAGAAAGATGATACTGTCTGCTCCCATAATGATTTACAGTCTTGGAAACCCTATAGAGGGCCAATATGAATCAGCATTTGGCATTAGAAATGCCAAGAGTCCCCATTCTACTGTTTTAGCTCTGCTGTACTTTTAGTTTGAGACCAAGAAATGTGTAAAAATTTTACAGTTCCCACCTCTATCCTGACAGACATGCATAGATGCATGAAAACTAAAATTCATCAAACCGTACGGATTCACTCATACGGTTTGATAAATTTTGGTTAAAAATCACTTAACTTTGTTTCTGTTCCTGTTTAAACTTAATGAAAAAGGATGTTTATGAACAATTACCATTTACACTCTAACATTTGTTTCCCACAGGAAATAGCAAACCAAACCAACCAACCAACCAACAACCAACCAACTCACCCCATTGCCATCTAGTCAATTCCTTAGTGACCAAGGAGTGTCTGGTGGCTTTGAACTGCACAGTGCTTACCCTACAGTGCCACCAGCCCTCCTTACAGGAAACATATCTACCAATTGTTGTCTTCCCCAACCAGGCTCACTTTTTTTTTTTTAAAGTAGAAGGATCTATAAAGCATCAAACTCATTGTTAATGAGTAGATTCTGATTTAGAGACCCTATAGGACAGAATAAAACTGTGCCATAGGGTTTCTGAGGCTGTAAATCTTTATGGAAGTTGCTGCTGCTGTTAAGTGCTGTAGAGTCAGTTCTGACTCACAGGGACGCTGTATGTGGTTTCCAAGGAGCTGCTGGTGGGTTTGAACCACGACCTTATGGTTCATAGTCCAGTGCTTATCCTACAACACCATACCAGGAGTCCAATTATGGGAGCAGACTACCTTATCCTTTGTCCATGAATAGACAGTGGGTTTGAACTGCCAATCTTTCAGTGGCAGCAAATTACTGTGCACTTGGGCTCCTTTGAAAGGTCTGGGAAACACAATGATAATTTGATCTGAAGTAATTGAGCCCATAGGTTGGTCTCCATTACTCTTTATTTTATTTTATTTATTTGCTTTTTATTGAGATTTCTAATTTTTATTGTGATTTGGATAAAAATTGACAAATCAAATTGGCTTTCCATGAAACAATTCACACCCATTTTGATTTGCGACCTTGACTGCAAAATCAATGGCACCCTTCCCACTTCCTCCTGTGTTTATTATTTGCATTCATCCTCTTTTCCTATGCCTTTCTGCTTTCTGAAGTTTGTTGCTGTTGTTGTTAAGTGCTGACAAGTCACCTCCAACTCATGTTGTTGTTGTTGTTAAGTGCCGTCGAGTCGGTTCCGACCCATAGCCACCTGCAAAGGAGGAGTGGTCGATGAGTTTGAACCGCCAACCTTCAGGTTCAAACTGACCTTGTGGTCCAGTACTAATCCTACAGCACCACACCAGGACTCCTTCTAAATTTTAACCCTGGGCAAATGCTGCCCTTTAGATCACGTGTGGTTGATTGTCTTAAGGTGTGCATATTTCCCTGGCCTGTTTTTTTTATTGTTTACCTTTTCTTGCAGAGCTGTGGTGTGGCACTGTGGGTTAATGAGCTGGAATGAAAGGTTGGTTTGAACCACAAGGTCAGTGGTTCAAGCTCACCAGCCGCTCTTCGGAAAGAAACCCTATACAGGGTCACTGTGAGTCGGAACCAACTTGACAGCACTCAACAACAACAACATCTTTTTCCTGCAAGTTGAGCTATGAGGATGAGTTCAATTGCAGACCTGAAGGGTGTCTAAGGCATGTATTCTCAGGGTCCCATTAGTCTTAAAATGCAATAAACATCTTAAGAAAAATAGTATAGAAAAATAGAGAAATTAAAGAAAAACAAATGAATTTCTCAATCAGTAATTTAGTCTTTTACATATGATGTTTAAATAAATGACTGGACATTAACGTGGATGATAAGCATTCAGATTTGTATGGATTGTTTATTAGGGTATTTAGACATTGAAAACAATACACACTGACCACAAAACAACATTCTATTTTCTTGAAGTACACACATCATGAATAATATAAATGCATTAATTGTTTTTGTTTTATAATTAGTAATCACCTCATGAACGTATGCAAAGCATAAAATTACCAGGAATTAAACTGTGTATAATATGTTGCATATATTGAATTTACTTAGTTTTAAAGTTTTATACCCAAAGTTAAAGTTAAGCGCCTGGTGCAGATACAGTTATAAAGCGATTACTGTCTTTATCTTCTCAGCCATGCAGATATTTGCTAAATAGACATCTACAAGTATAACAGTTGCTTGTATCTCAGAAATGGTCAGGACAGAGGAGGATGCTGGAAATTTTGAATCAGAACAGGAGATTTTCATCAATGTCTTCTATAAAATACAAAAACAAAACAAGAAACACATTTAGAATTTAGCCAAGTAGTGGTATAAGCACGCAATATTAGAATTGGAGTATTCTAGAAACCATCTACTAAGACAGTCTGATAGTGGTTTGCAACACTTGGCGGCATCAACATCACTTATGAAACTCTTAATGATACATATTCTCAGGCCCCGTTCCCAGCAACCTGAATCAGAACGGCTAAGCTAGGGGTGGGCCAATGACATCTGTACTTTTAGAACGCTCTGCTGGCAACTAGGATGACCCATCAGGATTGAAATCAACCCATCAGGGTTGAAATTGACCTATCTAGGAAGAGCTGCTTAAGGGGAGGTGCAATCCAGCAGTGCCAAGTCTTCTTATCTATGAAAACCAAACCTAACCCAGTGCTGTCGAGTTTGGTTTGGTTTGGCTTCAGACCAATAGAGACTTTATAGTATTGAGTAAAACTGTTCCTTGGGGTTTCTGAGAAAGTAAATCTTTATGGGACCAGCCAGTTGCATCTTTCTCCCTCTCATGGACTGGTGGGTTTGAACTGCCAACCTTGAATTTAGCTGCTCAATGCTTATCCAAGGATCCATCTAATCTATGTTGTTGTTGTTGTTAAGTGCTGTTGAGTCGGTTCCAACCCACAGCGACCCTGTATAGGATTTCTGAGGAGCCTCTGGTGAACTTGAACCGCTGACCTTGCAGTTCAAATGGCTTTGCCGTCTGACACAGTAACCCACAATGCCACACCAAAACTCCTTTCTAATCTAGAAGGGAAACTAAATATAATTGGAATAAATACAAGTATAGTGCCAGTTGGGGTCCTGATGTGGCACTGTAGGGCAAGCACTGGATTGCTAACCATGAGGTTGACAGTTCAAATCCACCAGTTGCTCCTTGGAAAACATAAATGGGATTGCTATGAGTCAGAATCAACTCGATGACACTTAACATGTTAAGCCTCACCATAGTGATCCTGTATAGAGTTTCCAAGGAGCAGCTGGTGAGCTTGAACCACCAACCTTGCAGTTCAAATGGCTTTGTAGTCTGGTGCATTAACCCACAGCGCCACATCAGGACTCCAAACAACAACACAGTGCCAGTTAAATCAAGTTTCCAACCAAGTAATTTGTAAAAGAATAACTGTTGCTACACCTATTAGCAACCTCTAGAAGGATATTCAAAGACCACTCCTTTTTACTCATTCATTCAAGAAAGATTCAAAGCAGATTGATTTGAAACATACTAAAATAGGCTGTTTCAGGCAGGTAATTTGCCTATCTTCATCTAACCTTAAGAATGGGAGAGAATATTTCTTTCAAATACTTCTTTTGAATGTTGGCTTCATTTGTAAAATGGGGACAACAATCTCATTATTTTCCATCTTGTGTTTGTTGTTTGGACACGAAATTTTCCTCTGTTTACTTAAAGACTAATTTCTCTATCTGTCCTCAGAATCTCTTCCAACCTTCTCAGAATTCTTCCTCTATTTTCTTCTCTCTCTTTTTTCCCCCTTATATTGTCAACCTTTCCTTTTTCACATTTTAATTGTTTTATGAAATTTTATTGCATTTTTGGTGAAAATTTTACACAGCAAGTTAGGATCCCATTTGATAATTGCCACACAAATTATTCAGTGACATTAGTTGTAGTTTTCACATGTGTCAGTGTTCCCTTTGATTGGGCTCCACTTGTTTCATTTCTATTTCAGTGGCCCCTTGCATTCTTATCTTTGCTTTAGAGTAAATGTTGAGCTTTGGGATGCATACAGGTTTTTTAAATAAAGCACTGTTCTTGTGGGTAACATCCTTTATTTTGTGTGCCATTCTACCTTGCTAAAAGGTGACTTCAGGGGATAGTTTTGCTTCACAATTTTAAGAGCATCTCAGCGTAATCCAGTCTCTACAGGTAAAGTTAGTCTAGGCTTTTAAAAGAATCTGAATTATGCTCTACACTTTTCTCCCTTTCTATCTGGGACCATCTACTGTGACCCTACTCAGAATGGTCAGTCGCAATAGCTTGTCACCACCTTGTTCTAATCTCAGGGTACATGATGTGGTGGCTCATTTAGATTCTCAGTCTTGATGACTTCTTTCTTTTCTGAGATTTTGTTATCTTTTTACTCTTCTACTAATGATGAGTAGAGACCAATAGTTGTATCTATTTAATGTTTCTTTTTCACCTGGACTCTTCTCATTAGCATTTAAATATACTGCATATCCACTTTTCAGAACAGTTTCTGACGATATGTAGAGCATTAGTAAAGATTTGTTGAGTGAATGTTTTCTTCAACTCCACTGAAATGTTTTCTTCAACTCCATTGCTCCCTCTAGCTCTTTTAGGCATTCATACATCACTTTTCTCATTTCCTGTTGTTGTCAGTCTATAAAATCTGGCTTCCATCTCTACTATTTCACCAAAACTGACAAGGCCACCCATGATATTCTTATTTCTACACCCAATGAACATTTCTGTCTTTCATCTTACTTGACACCTCAGCAGCATTTGGTATTGTTGGTTTCTTCTCCCTTTTGAAATGTCTCTTTTAAGATGACACTATCTTGATGGATTTTCATTCTTCTGAGAGGCCTCCTTCCTTCTTTATCCATCATTTACATATTGTAGTTCCTCAGTGTTCAACCTTAGGCTCCTTTCCATGTAGTTCCACACATTTTTCCCTTAGGGAATTAATTTACCTTCTTGGTGGTATGGTCTGTATGCCCACAATTGTCAAACACATGAGAGGGCTTCAAGAAGATTGTGGAAAAATGGAATGAAAAGACAATGGATTTTTTCCTATGAACTCCTTGAAGGCCCCTTGTATATTTGAATTCCAAAGTTTCCTCATTAAATTAATGCCTATATATTCAACTACCAACTGTACATTATCTCCCAAGTACTTCAAAATGTCATTGACCAGTTTCCCCAAGTATGCATCTATTTTTGTGTTTTCTGTCCCAATGGAATATACCCCTACTCACCCTGCCCTGACTCAGAAATCTAGGTATCATATTTCTATTTCTCTCCATCTCTCGATTGCCTGTCTTCTTATATCTTGAGAAAATTTCCTCAAGTTAGACACGAGGCAGATAATGACACTATCCTAATTCAATCTCCCATTAGCTCTTGTCCAGATTAACAGCAACAGTCATTCTGACTGTTCTTTAATCACAAACCCGGTGATATCACTCCCTTGTTTAAATACTTTGTGATCCCTTTGCACTCTTAAGATAATGTCTTTGGCTCCGTAGGACCTGCATGATCTGATTCGCTTTCCTTTTCTTTTAAAAAAATTTATTGTGGTAAAAATATACACAACAGAGAATTTTCCAGTTCAACAACTTGTATGATGATTTAGTGACATTGATTATATTCTTCATATTGTGCAACTATTATCACTATCCCTTTCCAAATGATTCCACTGCCATTTTGTTCACATTTTAACTTCCACTGGAGAATTCTTTAAAATGTAAATATATGTCAATACATTGTGGCACTAAATAATGAAGTCCCTTCCATCCCTAGTTGAACCCAATTATTACAGAGAGGAAACATGAGATTCACTGAACATGAATGAAATGCTCGAATTAAGGTAGCCAGTTGATGACAAAGTGGAATATTCACATGCAATGCAGTTAAAAGTCAGGAAAAAGCTAACCAGCATTTGTCTTGTCATTCTGTGGACTTTTCAGTTCTGAGGAAAGAAAGAGTACATTCATAGAGATTATTTTGCTGTCTCCAGCTGTAATTTGTTTACTTGTTCTGACCAAATATTCAATATCTGCTTTACTGGCTTAATTATGTGCTAATTCTTTCCCTTCGTCAAAATAAGGTAATGACAGGCCAAACCACAGTGCACAAACAAGATCATCAGTAGCTTTGCTAGTTACTCCACTTTAAGCTCTTCCTGCTCCTCCCAGACAAGCAGAGCCCCAGTGAGTTTATATGCTGAAGAGTTGCCAGATTTTTTGCAAAAGAACAGCTAAATGCAACCACTTTCTTTAAATAAATGGTTTCTATTCAAATTTGCCTTTTGATCAGTCCTTTAAAATCATTTGCCATATAAAAGGACATACATAAATATGTCCTGTTCCAGCTAGGTTTTTCCCCCTTTGCGAGTGGAGTGGGGGCGAATACAGCTGGACTTGGATACATTTTGTGCTTTTGACGTGGGAGTCGGAGTAAACAGTGTTAGCCAATTTTAGGAATATCTTTATAACTACTGTGCTTTTAGAATAGATATTAGACAGGAAACTAACATGATTTGTATGGGTCTGAGTTCTTAACAACTTGCTATTAGGATCTATGTTATAGACAGCCTACAATGATGACCCTAAATGATCCCCACTTCCTATAGATCTGTCCCATACTGTCCCAGGGTTTCTCTGTGCAACCAACAGAATATGGCAGACCGGTCTATCACTTCTGAGGTTAAGTCATAAACGACGTTGCAGCTTGTGAGCAGTCCTATGGATGGCTCACAAGGTGAGACACTGAAGCCTCCTGCCAATTACCACAGGAATGAACTTGGAAGCAGATCTCCCAGTGCCAGTCCAGCATTCAGACACCGGCAGCCTCCACTGTCAGCTTGACTGCAGTCTAATGAGACCCTATGCCAGAACCATCCTGCTAAGCCACTTCTGGGTTCTTGACCCTTGGAAACCATGAGAGAGAATACATTGAAGTGGCAATGGATAACTAACACACAGCACTAACTGCTTACAAATACAGCCATTTTTTTGCTCCTTAAGTTTTATTTTATGGAAAAAATATTATAGATCTGCGTACCTATTTATTAATAACTAAGTTCTTATACTCTTAGCCCTTTCTCTCTCATTTTATGGCATTATGATTAGCATGAAGAATATTATTCAAATGAATGTCACACAAGCTACTTGTTTGTAGGAAAATTTAGCCTTTCATGAACTTACTTTTCATTACTGTTTAAGTGTAATTAATCTGAAAGGCATATCTAACACTTACGCACAGTTTCTGCTTTAGAGATTTGATGTTCACTGTTGATTTAATGTCTGTGAACAGTTTTGATTGTTCATTTTTGAACACCTCTTAAATCTTTATTATTATAAACATGCTTGCCCGTAAATATAAACTCTAACATAGCAAAAGAAAAGAACTCAACCCAACAAAACAAATGTTCAAATTATGGTTCTTCTAGAGTTAGAATAAAGAAAGAGTTTCATATGTTCCCCTTTCACCAAAAATGCAGTAATGGGTTGGTTGTGGAGTAAAGGAATAATAGCTAATAATAGCTGGGAACAACTTGTGATGTAAGGTCTAACGCTGAGTGCGTCAGTAATGAATTCTAAGTCTGCTTCTAATCTCCCATGGTCAGAAGTAAGCATGCTGTTTCACTCTTCACCTATGAGTTTTTAAAAGTTTAGCTCAATACTTAGACAAAGGAGGGATATAAAACTAAAGAATGGTATAAAGCCTTCTGAGGTTTGGTACAGCTCTCTGTATTCACCTTCTCAAGCCTTAGTGCAGTGAAGTTTCACACTTATTACCCCTATAGTAGGATACTGAAAATACAATAGGCTGCCAGAAAAACAAACAAATCTGTCTTGGAAGAAGTGCAGCCAGAATGTTCCTTAGAAACCAGGATGGCAAGACTTTGTTTATCATACTTTGGATATGTTATCAGGATGGACCAATCCCTGGAGAAAGACATCATGCTTGGTAAAGTAGCGGGGCAGCAAAAAAGAGGAAGACCCCAGCAAGGTGGACTGACACAGTGGCAGCCATAACGGGCTCAAACATGACAATTGGGAGGTGTAGGACCAGACATTGTTTTGTTATGTTGTGCATATGGTCGCTATGAATTGGAAACAACAAACAGCACCTAACAACAATAACAACAACAACAAGACTTTGAAAACAGAAGGTCCTAGGGAAGTAATAAATAGCCTTTCAATGACAGAGCATTCATAGAAGGCCTCCTATATGGGATGCTGTCATCTCATTGTCTCTAGTTTTCAAAGAGAACATACAGTAGGACCTCTTCATAGAGGCCACCAGGTTTAGGGCTGGAGAGGAGAACACCACTCCTCCTTGACTGAAGATGACTTTACCTTCTTTAATTCCAAAACAGTGCCCCCACTCCTTCAGGGTGATGTGTTTATCCTTGTTGGGGTCACATTCCTCAAAGAAGCGGGTTATACAGTGTTCCATGGGCACGAGAGATGCTCGCAAAGGAGCAAGCTCTGAATGTGTCAGGATTCTGCAAAGACATAATTGTTACCTTATCAACTTTGAGCCAAGCAATACGCAGAAATATGAGGGGAACAATAACACTAGGGAGGTGTACACACCTTAAAATAATCAACAGTTTGTGATCAAAAGGGCAGCATTTAACTAAAGACCACTCATTTATTAATTTGTCTTACTGTGATGGCGTGTGTTTTGCTGTAATTCTGAAAGCTATGTCACTGGTATTTTAAATACCAGCAGGGTAACCCATGGTGAACAAGTTTCAGCTGAGCTTTCAGACTAAGACAGATTAAGAAGGAGATATGAACTACTTCAGAATATATAGTCATTGAAAATCTTATAAATGGCGGTGGAACATTGTCAGATAGCACCAGAATATTGAATATTGAAATATGATGAACAGAACCAGAATTTTATCAGATATGATGTCAGGAAATAAACCCCACAGGTTGGAACGCACTCAAAATATGACTGAAGAAGAACTGTTTCCTCAAAATAGAGTTGGCCATGATGGTGCAAATGGAGTAAAGCTTTTGGGACATTCATTTACTGATGAGGCATAACTCAAAAATAGGAGAAATAGCCACAAACATTCATTAATAATCGGAACATAGAATGTCTGAAGTATGAATCTAGGAAAATTGGAAGTTGTCAAAAATGAAATGGGATCCATATCCTAGGTATTAGTGAGGAAATGAACTGATATAAGCCATTTTGAGTCTGACAATCACATGGTTTACTATGCTGGGAATGACAAATTCATCATCAAAAAGAACATTTCAAGATCTACTTTGAAGTATATGCTGTTTGTAATAGGGTACTGTTCATACACCTACAAGGAAGACCAGTTAACACTATTATTCAAATTTATGCTCCAAGCAATAAAGTCAGTGATGAGGAAATTGAAGCATTCTACCATTTTCTTCAATCTGAAATGGATAAACATGTAATCAGGATGTGATTACTGGTGATTAGAATGCAAATTTGGAAACAAAGAGGAAAGATCAGTTGTTGGAAAATATTGCCTTGGTGATAGAAATGATGCTGGAAATTGTCTGATAGAATTTTGCAAGACCAATGACTTCTTCATTGTAAATACCTATTTTAAACAACATAAAAAACAAATATACACATGGACCTTACCAGATGGAAGACACAGAAATCAAATTGGTTTCATCTGTGGAAAGAGATGGTGCAAAAGCTCCATGTTGTTAAATGCCGTCAAGTCGGTTCCAACCCATAGCGACCCTTATAGGGTTTCCGAGGCTGTAAATCTTTACGGGAGTAGAAAGCCTCATCTTCCTCCCACAGAGCAGTGGCTGGTAGTTTTGAACTGCTGACCTTAAGGCTTGCAGCCCGATTCATAACCACTACGCTACCAGAGCTCTTAACCATCAACCAAAACAAGGCTAGAGACAACTGTAAAACAGGCCATCAATTACTTATCTGAAAGTTCAGGATGAAGCTGAAGAAAATTAAAACAAATCCATGAGAGCAAATATATAACCTTGAACATATCCCACCTGAATTTAGAGATCATCGCGGGTGCATATTTAATGAATTAGACACTAAAGACAGAAGACCAGAAGAGTTGTGGGATGACATTAAGAATACCAAACAGGAATAAAGCAAATGGTCATTAATGAGGTAAGAAAGAAGGAAAATATATAAATGGATGCCAGAAGACACTCTGAAAATTGCTCTCAGTGCAGAGATGCTAAATCAAATAGAAGAAATGAGGGGCTAAAAGAAAATTTCATTGGTTAGCTTGAGAAAACAAAGTAAAATATTATAATGAAATGTTCAAAGACCTGGAGTTAGAAAATCAAAAAGGAAGAACATGCTTAGCATCCCTCTCAAGTTGATAGGACTGAAGAAATAATGTAAGCTTTGATTTGCAATGTTGAATGATTCTATGGTTAAAATATTGAATGATGCTGAAAGTATCAAATGAAGACAGAAGGAACACACATAGTCAGTGTACCAAAAAGAAATGGCCAGTGTTCAACCATTTCAAGAGCCAATGATATTGAAGGAAGAAGTCCAAAGTGCACTGAAGACATTGGCAAAGAACACAACTCTGGAAATCAAGGAACACATATTGAAAAATTTCAACGAACTTTTTATAGCTCTCACTCATCTATGACAAGAAATTTGGAAGACAGCTACCTGGCCAACTGACTAGAAGAGATCCATATCTGTGCCCATTTCAAAGAGAGGTGACCCAGTGGAATGTGGAAATCATCAGACAATATCATTAAAATCGCATGTAAGTAAACTTTTGCTAAAGAGAATTAAATACAGCAACAACAGTAAGTACATTGACAAGGAACTCCCAGATGTTCAAACTGGTATCAGATGAAGGATGTGGAACAAGAGATATCATTACTGACATAAGATAGATCTGACTGAAAGCAGAGAATACCAGAACAATATGTGCTCTACTGACTAAGCAAAGGCTTTCAATTGTTTGGATCATGACAAGCTATGGACAACATTGCAGAGGATGAGTATTCCAGAATGCTTAATTGTGCTCATGAGGAACTTGTTCCACCATCAACACTCACAGAAGCAACAGTCAAGAAATCAAATGACACATAGCATTAGACAAATCTGCTGCACATGACCTCTTTAAAGCGTTCAAGAACAAAGATGTCCATTTGAAGACTAGGGTGCACCTGACCCAAACCATGGTATTTTCAGTAGCCTCATATGCATGTGACAATTGGACAGTGAATAAGGAAGAACATAGAAGAATTGAGGCATTTGAGTTATGGTGTTGGAGGGAATATTAAAAATACCATGGACTGCCAAAGAACACACACATCTGTGTTGGAAGAAGTACAGCCAGAATACTCCTTAGAAGCCAGGATGTCCAGAGTTTGTCTCATACTTTAGACATATTTTCAGGTGGGACCAGTTCCTGGAGAATGACACCATGTTTGGTAAATTTAAGGGACAGCAAAAAAAGAGGAAGACCCGAACAAGATACATTGGCACAGTGACAGCAGCAGTGATTGTATGGTTGGTACAGAAACAGGCAGTGTTTTGTTCTGTTGTATGTAATTTTGTTATGAGTCAGTACCAACTCAACAACGACAAGAACAAAGATGACTTTTGGGGTGCCAGGACACAATAATTCCTTCTTCACTGGGAACTGTCCTCTAACCACCTTAAATCTATAGGAGTTTACTCCAGCTATCATACTGTAAACCTGGTTCTTATTGGCCATGCCTGAATCACTTAGATTATTTTGGGACTTCAGAATCAAGAATGAGAAAGTATTGAAGAAGTCTCTGTGAGGTTGAGCCTATAACATGTAAACTTGGGGTTTGTGATCTGCTTATAGTCTGTTCTTTTTTAAAAAAAATTGGCTTATGACTGCTAACCATATTTGTTTGACAATTTGGTGTTCTAAAATGGAACTGGGAAACTCTGATTAGGCTTTCTTTTGTATAGACATTATAATAGGGAGAAGATCCAGTAATGGGAAAAGACAAAGTTTTTACCTATCCATAGGATGTTGGTCAAGTTCACTAAACTGCCAGTGCACAGGATACACATACATGTGGTAGTTTTTCTTAAAGTCTCTTAAGAGAAGGTCAATGGGATGGTCCCCAGCCAAGAGCCTCTTTTCATCCAGGTAAATTTTCTTGACCTAAGAATAAGAAGGGAGAATATCATTAGAGAATGTCATTAGAGAATCAGACAAATGTAATGCTTATTACTAAACTTTTAGATGGCAAAACCAGTTTGCACTCTACTACTGACCTACTTCTGGTGTGGCACTGTAGGATAAACACTAGACTGCTAGCCTCAAAGTTGGAGGTTCAAACTCACCAGCTGCTCCTTGGAAACCGTTTGCAGAGTTACTATGAGTTGAAATTGACTTGGTGCATTTAACAACATCAACAACAGCACTAAGCTAAAGGGTGTTGGCTCCAACCCGCCCAGTGGTACTATGGGAGACAGTTCAAGTGATCTGCTTCCATTAAGATTATGGCCAAGAAAACCTTATAGAGCAGTGCTATTCTGTAACATCTGGGGTTCCCATGGGTTGGAATTTATTTGGTGACACAAAACAACAACAACAACCACTTGAAGAGTAACAGTAACAAAACAAGGAAAACAAGCCCAGGCCATCATGTGACCAAATTAAATGCCTTTCTTATTTCCACCTAGAATAATTGAGGTTAAAAGTCTAGTTTTCAGATGAAATCTAAATCTTTTTTTTGTTTTGACCAGGGAATGTTCATCACAGTCCTTAAAATAATAAGAAGGCTTTAATGAAGAGGGCTGGAGTCCTGGTGTGGTACTGTGGATTAATGCGCTGGACTGCAAAGTCGTTTTGAACCACAAGGTCGGCAGGGCCACTATGGGTTGGAACCGACTTGATGGCACTTAACAACAACAGCAATGAAGAGGGATGGACCAAATTAGGCAAAGTGGTAGTTAGTAAAATTTCTTGCTCCTTACTCCATTGGCATACTCTTCTTAACCACCTGTGTGTTTTCCCATCCAGTGCCAGCTCAGTCTCTGCTTAGCCCTGGTATGTTTCCACTCTGTCCCTTCACTCCTATTGACATTTTCCTGTGTCATAATTAATGCTCTCAAGACTCTTTGTGACAAGGTAATAAAGAGAGATGATAGAAATTATTCTCAGGCAGCACACACATAGCTTTCAGCTGATAACACTGACTATTGTTTCACTGAGAAAAGGGAAGTGATCAGAACAGAATGTCGACCTATTTCCATGACATCTACCAGTTTGTTTCCTTGTTACTGTGTTTGAACTTCCTGTGTTCCTATTTAACCAAACATTTCCTGGTGCTTAGAAACCAATAACCTTTCAGCTATTCAAGAGCACTTTTTGGTTTATTGAATATCTTCTCTGCTTTTCTTTAATTTTTCCTTCTTTACTGGACTATTTCCCAATGTATACAAATATCATCTATCATCTCCCATTGGGATCCGGGACTCTTGGACCACATTGCCCTCCAGCTACCAACCCATGGTTCTGCCGTGGCCAGTTATAGTCGTCACATGCCAAGTCAGTGGTCAACTATCTATCCTTATCTTACAACTTAGAAACAGTATTTGGAACAGTTATTACATGAAATCAATTTTGTTTTATTTTCTTCATAGCATATCTAATACATTGTTTGCTTATATTTACATATTGGCATAGATTTGTATATTTGCAAATAGTTTATGTACTTGCATATATATGTGTGTATGTTTATATAGACCTATATGTGTGTACTTTTCCTTCCAATTTGTGTCGGAAGAAATACAGCCAGAATGCTCCTTAGAAGCCTGGATGGTCAGACTTCATCTCTCATATTTCAGATATATTATCAGGAAAGACAACTCCCTGGAGAAGGACATCAAGCTTGGTAAAGTGAAGGGTCAGTGAAAAAGAGGAAGACTCCCAATGAGATGGATTGGCATAGTGTCAGCGGCAATGGACTCAAGCTTGCCAACGATTGTTAGATTGGTGCACAACCAGCAGTGTTTCGTTCTGTTGTGCATAAGGTCACTATGAAATGGTACCAATTTAACAGCATCTAACAACAACATATGTGTATATGTATGTATGTGTGTCTACAAATATGAGGGTTGGGTTTCAAGAAAACAAGTGAAAAAATTCAATTATCTTTAAGTTCTATTTTTCCATAAACTTTTTGAAGTACATTGAGGATCACTGGTGTTGCAATGGTTAAGCACTTGGCTGCTAACCAAAAGGTTATTAGTTCAAATATATGCAGCGGCTCTTTGGGCAAAAGATCTGGTGATCTGCTTCAATGAAGATCGTTGTTGTTAAGTGCTGTTGAGTCGGCTCCGACTCATAGCCACCTTAGAAAACTCTATAGGGAAGTTTTACTCTGTCACATGGGGTCCTTATGAATTGAAATCAACTTGATGGCATTTAACAACAACAACAACACATCTTTACATAATATATTTTAGTTTATTTTTTTACTGTCTGTCTGTTCTTCCAGGAAGTTATCTCACAAAGGTAAAGACCTTGCTATTTCTTGTATCTGTAGCAGTGAGTTCAATTCCAGTCACTTAGGATTCATTCAAGGTTCTGAGTGGGTAGAAATGTATTATGCATTTGGTTGGTAACTGAAAAATTGGCACTTTGAACCCATCCAGTGGTCCTGGGAAAGAAAAGTCCTGGCTAGCGTTAGGCTTCCAGAAAGACGACAGTCAGGAAACCCCTATGAAGAGGTTCTATATTAACATGAGGTTGCCATGAGTTGGAATCTGCTTGACGACACAAAACAAAAACAAGATGGGTGCATTCAATGAATACCTAATGAATGAATTTTTCGGGTGAACTTCTGGAAATAATGTCTCGAGCTTAAAACTTAAAAAAACCAAAATGTCATTGTGACTAATTGATTTTCCTCATACCAACATCTATATCTGGCCTAAAAGGGGGAAAAAAAAAAGCTTAGATTGAAGTAATGTGTTTGAGTCTGCTAAACTGATGTTCACTTTGCTCAACCAGAGCTTGCTCTAGGTAGGGGTTGTTGTTGTTGTTATGTGCCATGGACTCGGTTCCGACTCATAGCAACCCTGTACAGGGTTTCAGAGGCTGTAAATCTTTATGGGAACAGAAAGCCTCATCTTTGTCCTGCGTAACAGCTGGTAGTTTTGAACTGCTGACCTTGCGGTTCACAGCCCGATTCGTAACCTCTACGCTACCAGAGCTCCTTAGGTAGGGCTTGAAGCAGCTCTTATTCAGGCCATTGCCCTTTTCAAAGAGATGGGATGGTTTGACCGTGTCCCAAACCTTGTGGTCTATACTGTGGCCACTATTGTTCTGTAACTGTATGTGAGCTAACCAAGAACAGGGAGACAAAGTGAGTTTCTGTAGATGTGCAAGGTGAGGTAGCATTCGCCTCCCCGCAACACTCTGCTTTTGTCCTCAGGCCCTGTAGTCAGACTCCAGGCTAGCTGACCCACTTAGCTTACTTTATTCCTCTGCTTCTCATTTAGATATCCAGCATGTTCAGGGTTATGTTCATAAAGCTGCACGAGGATATTCTTGAGCCAGTCTCTCATCCGCAGAGGAAACTGAGTCACTTCGAAGTCTGTGCAAGCAGGAATAGCTGTGCCAAGCAGATAGTAAATGCATTATTATCTTTGACCTTGCTTCTGTCATATACCACATCCTCCTAACACGGTTGCGTAACTAATTCTAGTGACTTACAGAGCATCCTCCTTATCACCACTGTCTACAACAGTATGGATCAGGTACCAGATCTTAGATGCTGCTGCCCAGAACTCAATGAATGGGTTTTGCTCACATTTCATCTGAAAGAGCATGTCATCCGGCCATATCTCACTTACAAGGAGCTAAGAAAATTAATCCTCCCATGGGTCCGGAAAGAGAGGAAAACCAGAAATATGAGTGAGTGCTGATAAGATAGAGAATCATTTAGTGGTGAGGGGGCCCAGGCACAACTGAAAGTATCCTGAGAAAGGAAAACAATGAAAAAAAGAAAAATCTGGAAGAAAATGTTGTCATAAAACTTCTTGGCAGAGGCTTAACTTAAATAGGAAACAGAGTAAATAATTTGACAAAATTCCCATGATTCATCTCAATTATTAAGTGGATTACATACTCTATCACAGTGGTTCTGAACCCTGGCTGCACACTAAGATTGTCTAGGTTACTTTAAAAACAAACACACAAAACATGCCCGGGACCCAACCCAGTCCGATTAAACCAAAATCTCTTATTAGAGTTCAGACCTGGGCACCATTTACTCTTATTTTTTGAAGTCACCTCAGAGATTTTAATGTGCAGTTTGAATGTAGAACGACTCTAGCATTTTCCTGTTTGACTTTAATTTGGTCATGCACAGATTCATTCCAAACTCTAAGCCATAGATTTTTATTTTTTTAAGTTTTTATTGTGAATCATGTGATAGTTTACATGAGAGAACACTAGCTTTACATTCATCCTATCATATTTCATTTCATTGCAATGATTACAATCCCTTCCACGCATCATCAAACAACCAAAGGGTACAACTTGCAAACCTGCCTCCTGCCTGTCAGCATACAACCCCTCTCCCTCTCTGAGTCCAGAGTCCCCAGCTGCTCCATCTCTCCACATCATCATCTCTGCCTCCAGCTCTGGCATCACTGCTTCTCTCGGTAGGGTCCCACACTCTGATATTCTCACATGATGGTCCCAGGGACCTCTGCTTCTGGACTGCAAAATCAACCACTCCCTTCCTTTTGTTACAAAACATCTAGCTTTACATTTCCGATCCTCACAAGTCAGTCCTGATAGCAATTATTCACTATTGTGCAACAAGAGTCTTATCCCCATCTCCCTTCATCAGCCCGTCCCAAAAGATTGGAAACCACTCAGTGGAGATTCCATCTTCCCCTGTACTCTTGGAAACTAGGATCCCTCTTGAAAGCTTGTAAGCCAGTCACTTCTTGCCTTTGTAGCCTCCCCCCCGCCCCATTTTGGGTAGCTAATGTCTAAGTTGCCCATCGCTGTCAACCCTGTATATCGAGGGGGGGGGAATGATCCTCGCTGTAAAGATTTGGTCCCTCTTTTGAGCTACTACATCCCTAAGTGTAAGTCAACTTCATCAAATTATATCAGATTACTCTTTCTTTCCTCTTCTTTCTTCTTCTAGTTGAGCTCTGATCATCAAGTCATTGAAGCTAGGTCAAGTGGGTACTATCTGCAAATATGGGTGTTCTTGTGCCTCTTCCCTCACTTCATATCAGATGGATGCTTCACTCTCTGCTCTAGTCCTCTGTGGACATGTCACTGTCTCTGGGTTCAGGAGTCCCCAGGTCTCGCCATACTGCTGGCTAACCAGGTCTCAAACCAGGTTCACAGAAGTCTATTGAATGTGATTGGACTTAGCTTACAACTTCACTACTGTTTTCCCCCCACTTCCCCTTATTGGGGACCAACGTGGTCACCAGCCAGACCACATGCCTGCTCACGTATTCCCCTTGAGTCTTAGTCTTGGAAGGGGGTTTGCTCTGAGGAGGCCCAACCACTTGCCTTGGTGGGAAGCCATAGTTTTGACACTAGCAATGAGATCTTACATTTGCAGGCTCCAAAATAATCCATCTGCAGTTGGTGCCCCTTTTTGGTCCCTTCCAGTCTGCATTTGGTAGCAAAGAGATGACAGGAGCTAGCATAGGTCTGATTGTCGGTGCCACAAACCTAGGAAAGACGAGAAAAATTGGTAAAACAGAATGTTCATTGAAAAACACTCCTTAAAACTCATAGTGTGTCTGATAAATTGTACCGTGCTCAAGATGCTTCCTAAAGCACTGGACCACAAAGTCAGTTTGAATTGTGAGTTTGACAGTTCAGACTCACCTGCCACTCCTCAGAAATCATATACAGGGTTGCTATGAGTTGGAACCCACTCGATGGCACTTAACAACAACAACAAATATGTAGTTAGGTAGGTGATGTTATTTAAATCATAAATCTATGCATTTGTATAGTATTCTTATTATTTCATATAAATGAGATCACATATGTCCTTTTGTGATAGACGTAGTTCATCAGCATGTTATCAGCATGTCATCCATGTTGTATTGTAACATGTATCAAAACTTTATTCCTGTTATGGTGATGGAAAATTTGGCAATGACTTTTTAAAGTGTTGAAGAGCAAGGATGTCAGTTTGAGGACTAAGGTCTACCTGACCCAAGCCATGGTATTTTCAATAACTTCATATACATGTGAAACCTGGACAGTGACTAAGTAAGACATAGAAGAATTGATGCTTTTGAGTTATGGTATTGGAGGAGAATATTCAAAGTGCCACTGGCTGCCAAAAGAACAAACAGATCTGTGTTGGAAGAGGTACAGTTAGAGTGCTACCTGGAGGCCAGGATGGCCAGACTTTGTCTCTCATACAATATGTTGTCTCAGACATATTGTCAGAAGGGACCAGTCACTGGAGAGGGACACCATGTTTGGTAAGGTAGAGTAAAAGAAGAAGACCCCCAGCGAGATGGATTGGCCAAGTGGCAGCATCAATAGGCTCAAGTTTGGCAACAATTGTGAGGTTAGCCCAGGACCAGGCAGTGTTTATTCTGTTGTGCATAGCGTCACTATGAGTCGGTACTGATTTGATGGTACCTACCTAACTAACTAAAAATGGGTGATGATTGCATAATATGATGACTGAAGTACATTAAATTGTACACCTGGAAAATGTTGAATTGACAAATGTGTTATCTATATTCTTACAGCAATAAAGAGAAAAAAAAATCATAATTCTTTCATTTGGAGCACACACACACACACACACACAATCAAACTACACTGTTGCTGGTGACAATATAGCTTCAGGTAAGCAGAGTAGAATAGCAACTTCACGTGTGTCAAGGACAGAATGAGTTATAAAGTTATTTCTATAGCTCAAATTCCATTATTACCTTGTTAAAGTGATGCTGCAGGTTAATATGCTGGACTGCAAAGTTGGTTTGAACTACAGTTTCACAATTCAAGCTCACCCATCGATCGTCGGAAACTCTATAGAGGGTCACTATGAGTTGGAACCAACTTGACAGCACTTAACAACAACAACAACAAAGACAATGTAAAGAGTCTCTGAGTGATGCAAAAGGTTAAGTGCTCACCTACTACTGAAAGGTTGGTGTTTCTAATTCACTCAGGGACACTTCCAAAGACAAGCCGTTTGAACTGCAAGGTCAGTGGTTCAAGCTCACCAGCTGCTCCTCAGAAACCCTATACAGGTTCGCTATGGGTCAGAATCGACTCGACGGCACTTGACAACAACAACAACACCTCCAAAGACAAGTAATCTGCTTCTGAAAAGTCACAATCTTGAAAATCCTATAGAACAGGTCTACTCTGCATACATGGGACAGCCATGAGTTGGAATTAACACAGGAACAACAACATGGCACAGAAGTCATTCTTTGATTTTGCCAGTATTTGCCTATTCAATATTGCTTGAAACATTAGATCATAACCTAGGCATCTGCTTTTTTGTTTTTAGGAAATATTTTCAGTTTCAAACTCTTTTCATTTAAATCATTACTATGTTAGCCTCTTAGAAACTAGTTTGTAGAATACTTACTTGGTCAAGAAGTTTTGTTGGAGGACAAGTCACTGGATCTTGGCAAACGCAGTGGGGTTTCCCCTGTAGGTCAGTTTTACAAATGTGTCCTCTTTTGCATTGGAAACTCATGCAAGAATCTATTTGTAAAAAAAAAAAAAAAAGTGAAAACTGGAATACAATTAAAAGAATGTTGAGAAACTGTGGAAAAATAATAATCTAACAGAAAAGATTAGACAGGAAACATGGACAAAGGTAAACTGAAGATGCAAACCTCAAATTTACCCAGACAACTAGATTCATTTTAGCTAAGAAGGGAGAAAACATGGGAAGACTCCAGTATCTTTTTTTTTAATGTTTTATTGTGAATTATATGATAGTTTACATGGGGGAACTTTAGTTTTACATTCATTCCATCGTATATCATCTCATTGCCATGGTTCCAATCCCCTCCATGCATCATCAACCACCCAAAGGGTAT